TGACGATGGTCATTGGCGATTTGCAATGGCTAATTGCGCATGTTCGATAATTTGTTCAAATCGAAAGAGAGCTGTGCTAACAACGAGCTTTAATCTCTCAACCATGCTAGTCAGCCGCTTGTTAAATCTCACTCCAAACCCGCAGTTCGCAAATGCAAGTTTGGACTGTCAGTTATTACTGCTCGAACCACATTGGAAGCACCGATGCGAAAATAAAAGTAGAGGAATTTTGTAAAAAGCAAAGATTTGTGATTAAAGTTTTATAAGTAAGTATTAAGTAATAATTTATTTATAATTTTGTTAAGTTTAATAACTTGTTAAAGTTTAATGAGACATTTGATCTTAGCGAAGTTATTTATTTATTATCAAAATCTAGATTCAATATAACTTTTTAATCGTATAATCACGCACATAACGTAACCGTAAAATATAATTAATACTTTTCATTATTCATACCTCTCGCGAAATTTTCTGTAATTCTGTATGTAATTCATTGTGTACGTAAGAACGCTTTAATTTGAAATACAAGCAAATGCTCTAATATCTTCGTATATTTTTCGCTTTTATTTATCGAGGAGAAAAAGCTCGTTGCTCTACTTTATTCATAAAACTCGTTATTATCTGACAGCTTGTTATGACGATAATGCATGGGTTTAAGTATTTCCTCGGGAATTTATAGCGACTTTGGTGCAAAGAAGAAAACCTCGTCACGACATGAGAGGGATAATAGGTTAACTTATCAATTGAGGTCAATTATGGCCCTTGGCCCGTAAAATTTCGTATGGTAACTTTTTCTACAAAATTTAGATGAATGTCTTCTTCGAAATCTAAATAAACTTTGTCTGTTTGTGAAATAATTTATTATAACAAATAAAACATTAGTTTCGAAAAAACTTTCTTTAATTTTAAAAGGATTATGTACATTATATATATTGTTATAAAGTACTATATATATATATTTTTTTTAATGTATTTGCGTTAAAATGAATTTTTCAGTTATCGAAGGATGTATTAATACGTCATGCTTTTATGATTTGTGACTAATTGCAAAAATCGCAAAATGGACTTAATGAAGGGCTTTTCTGCTCTATCTACCCACTTTACTTGTACACAAATGCTGTATCATCAGAAATCAGACACCCTGTGTATATTTCGATAAAATCAAATGTCTGTTTTTTTAGAAAATTACTGTTTTAAAATCTTGCCCTTCACAAAAAATTTATTATACAAAACCCTGCTTGACAACGTGTTTTTACATAATAAATGTGTAAAGATCGATTTTTAGGATTGGTCCATTAAAAATACCATTAAACGATCGTAGATAAAAATAAATTATCGTAAAACTTTGAAAGGATAAGGTTCGATAAGGTAAAACCTTAATCCACCGGTGAGAAAGTTTCTAGACGGTAGTACAAAACAGTATAAAAAGAATCGCTCCGCGAGAGATACAGGGAAAGATATCCATTACAACGCCTGATTTTCAACAACAGACAGCGTCGTGCTCTCAACGCGGGTGTGCGGTCCCGCGTCCCGGAAACGTGTTCATTAGCATATACTTCGATTAAACAATGTCCTTAGCAAGCGCGCTTCCCCATCGCGGTGGGGTATGGGAAATAAGTGCAGAGGGAAAGCTGCGGAAATGGCCCGCGGCGATACCACGGGCAAAGCGGAATTATTTATCTCGTGCTGGCCGCGCGACGTTCAGGACCTTGATAAATAGATCCTTGCGCGAAACGTTGCAGCAGGTTTCCCGCCAGGGCTCCGGACTCGAGAAAGGACCATTAGGTAGGGATTCACCCGTGGTGGCAGTGGCGGTGGCGGTGGCGGTGGTGGTGATGGCGGCGGAAAAACGAAAATGAAAAGTGGAAAAAAAAAAAATCGGAAAGCAGATCGCGCGGCGTGTGGGGTCGACGGAATAAAAGCGGCCGCTTATAGTCGCCACTGGATGCTTCCCCTCTTTTTTCATCGAGCGTATCGCTATGGAAAATTGAAATAATTAATCCGGGTGTCCGGCTCCCTTTTTCCTCTCTTTCGCTCTCTTCCTCTTTCTCTTTCTCTTCCGCCCCGCTTCGAGAACCGGCATCCTACCGTTATCATCGCGCGGGTGCGCGGTATGAATCGCATTAATCAACCGACCGAAAACCTGGGTTTTCTTCCGTCTTTAAACATGCATAAAGCGCGCTCCCGTGTATTAGCTCGGTCACCATGGAATTGAACGTTCCGCGATCGATGCTTTAATCATTTGGCCTCGGGGGTACAAACGCAAGAATATAGCATCAATAATGTCATAATAACTCTTCAGTGATCGGTAATACGAGTCTTGTACGATAACAGGACAACGAGTTTGTAATGCGGCACAATGTTTAAATAATAATATAAAATCTTTAAATTACACAACGCGTTTTATATTTTTTTTGTTTTAAAAAAATATATAATCCGGATTGAGGTATGATCGAGCCTTCGGACAATTAAAGATTAACAATAAAACAATGGCATTAAATATTGTAATTGACTGATGCAGCAGTAAGGAACGTTATCGCGATTAATGAAACATTTTATGCGATCATTAAAGTATTTTGCTTTATCGCGACCATTAAATATATTATCACGACCATCAAACGTTTTAATGGCGCAATATAGGAGAATCGTACTTTCGCGATGTTCGATTTACACACACAATCATATTATTTAATTTTGTTAATTAAAAACACGCGTCCGCACTTTAAATTACACATAATACGAATTTGCACAAAATGCATATTTTATTTATTTACATTCGTCCATCGGGATTATTTACAAAATCTCGTGGGTCTATTTCAGACCATCTTCAATTCGTAATAAAAAAAAAAAAAATCAGGATTTTATTTAATGTTACGTTATACTGTGTATAATATGACAAACATTTTATCAGAAAAATCAAAAATACATGGATGTAGAAAATATACATTTATTAAAATATATGCACGTATCAAAATACGTGGCATATAAAATTATAAATAAATTATAAGTAAAATTTTATTCCGAAATATAACGCGAAGTATTGATCCAGATTGCCGGAAAAAAATGAGCCTGCAACAATTGTTTTATTTCACGTGACACAAATACCGCATCACAGATATCATCTGTACATCCCGCAGCACGTAAAGTCCATGCACTGTTCACGTAATACACGCGATATATATAATTATGTGACAATTGATATTTGCGATTAGCTCGTGCAATTTCGCGGGATACGCTAAGCGGACCGAGGAAATAAAATGAAATGACAAGTGTGCTTTTTATAAAACGCACTTTGATAAGTAATGAATACGCGCGTGCACGTATAACAGCTCTCTCTCTTTCTCTCTCTCTCTCTCTCACAGCCATAATATAAATAAATGAATAAAATCCTCTTGTAATCCATATCAGATTGTATCGTAACAGCGCGAAGAGCGCGTCCCGGTTTGAAATATCGATCTGTCTGGTCGAATTGCGGCGTTCTATCGAAATACATTAAAAGGACAGGTGGTTTTTTTTTTTTCCCCCATCGCTTTTCTCTCCCCAACGAGGGATATCGGAAGTAATCACTACAGTACTTTTTGACAGTACGCTTCATTCAAAATATCTATTGACAGAAGTAAAATGATGCCGTATGAAAAAAAAAAATACGCACGCCGTATCGACGCGCGAAATCTTCCCGTGCGAACACATGCCCCTCATTAACGTATAATGTCCCATGAAAATGAAAAGTATTGTTTTACGAATTTAATTTTTACTCCCTTCATTTCGCTATTACGATATGAATGCCGATAGAACATCGCGGAATAGTAACGTTTTTTTTTAATTACGTATAGTTTCGTAGAGTTTCATATAAATTGCATAAATTTTTAAAACGCACATATTAAAATTAAACAATTCTATGCAAAATAATGGCAGAAACTTCACGCGTATTATTAGTAGCCGGAAAAATATTTTCTTTATATACGATTATTAATTGAAACAGGTATGATTTTTGTGAGATTGTGTGGAATTTTGTACATAAATAAACGCGTGTTATTTATTACGCTCAATTATATTTTAACAATTTATTACTTTATTATATTTGTACGACGCAATGTTTATTAGAATTCGGAATTTTTACTTTAAAATCTATTTATTTATTTATTTATTTATTTATATTTAGCACAATATCCGATTCAAATTATTAAAAGATAAATGCAATTATTAAAAGGCAAATGCGATAACAAAATTAGATTCTACAATCCTATCAAAATCGGGATATTTGACAATTTTTCATTCGACATTAAACATAAGAATTTATATCACGTCAATCACGTAACACTGTCCAAACACTTTAATTAAACAACGTTCCGTAATTCTTTGCCAGATACACATTTACATGCAGTCAAAAGATTTAAAACATCCAGTTAGAAAAATGAAAAATTTTATTCTAACCAATGGCGCGTACAATCCACTAGTGAAACCATTCCTTTACACAAAAATGTTATTGAAAAGCTTTAGAGTTTCAGTGAAAGCTTCCAAGCTTTGTATCTAGTTGGAATTGATAGTTTTTTTCAATTTTTTTCGAAATTGTACCAAAATTTTTTAAAAAATTCTTTGTATTTTTATATTTAAATTAGACAGTTCATTTTAAATTAAGTAAATTTAATTTACATCTAAATATTGCTATATAGTCTATATTATTTAATGATAATCAATATATACGTATTTTTTATTAAACAATTAGGATAAATTGCAGATATAATATTTAATCGCATCTCTCGCGAACAAAATCTTGCAGATCTCAAGAAAAATTTATTTTATATTTTTTACTATTTTTCAATGTCGATAAGCGCCACATAAATATAACTTACTTCATGCGTTTGTTTTGTTAAAGTTCTATCGATGTCGTCTAATATAACATAGAAGATGTTCTGCGAAGCTTATACGAGGAGATAGAACACGTCGGTCGTCTCGTGTGAGTGGCCTTGTATATTCGAGATGAAAAATTCATGGGGCTCGATGCAACGTCCAATCTTAGGTATTTATTTCATGTAAGATACATGTGCCCGTATTTTCCACTCTCACGGAACACGATGTCGCATAATAACGATATTTAATTCTTCAGTATCCCTGGTGACAAAACGTACGAAAGCGCTCGTAAGACAAAGGAATATTTTTACGTAAATAATTATTTTATATAAACAATTAATTTCTTTAAATGAAAATTTTAACTTAATTAATTTACATGCGAGAGAGAAAAGGAGAGAGAGAGAGTTTGTCTATTTGAAATTGATTACACTCACTTAACATTTTTTTCATCCTCGGCAGAAAATCTCGAAAAAGTTATTATACCACCACGAGTTTTTCTGAAGATGTTTCTAAAAATGCAAACTTTTGCATATTTTGTATATTTTCACCTCTCGGTTATATACTAAAAGTTTAAAATAAATATGAAAATAAATAAAGAAAAAAATTTCATATGTACACATAACAAATCAGCAGTTGCTAAAAATAAGAAATTTGTTAGTTGTTAATTTCATTCGAATTAAGTTTCATTAGAATTAAAATTGAGATTCAAATGAGTTTCTGGTTTAGCAGACCATGTGAATAATTGGTCGCCAAGTGACTATGTAAAATTAATGGCATATAGTATATACAAATTGGAGGCGATATCTGGAGGAGTATCGATTATCACACCGGCACAAATTGGGAGATAATTGGCTGTGTCAGCTTGCGCGTACCGGTCTGGTTTCCCGACTGGACAATATCGCGCAACGGGAATTTAATAAAGCTCCGACTTGAACACTGCGGACGTGGCTGAAAGAAATGGACGTGCAGCGTGTCTAGCATACACAGCACCCTCTTCCCTTCGTTTTTGTCCTATCACCCAGTTCACCACATTTCTTAGCTTTTCTTTCTCTCTTTTCCCTTTTTAACCGGTTCTCTTTATATTTTTCATAAAAAAAAAAAAAAGTTTAATTTCTGAACTTCATCTTCGAAGCCAAAGCTGTGAACGGTGCTGTGTGACGAATACTTTTTTTTCATTTTATTCATCAATTGTATTTAAGAAAGAGACAGATAACATTTTCTTTTTATTTTTTCCTTTTATCTTGTTACGTGACAAGAAATAAAGTATGTTAAGATATGTCAAATGTATCAGACATCCATTCACATTATTTATATGCAATGTTATTATGCAAATAAAAATTACTTATTTTATTTAAAAAGTAATATCAGCCAATTATCTTTTAATCATCAGTGAAATAATCGTTACTTCTTTATCTGTTCATTTTTTGTGATATTTATATTTCGTACAGATTATCTGTATACTCAAAATATCAGGAATAAAAGAAATTGCGTTGCCATTTTAATTTATAAATAATTATCTTTATAACTTTAATTATTTTATAATAATTATTTTATAATTTTAAATATTAAGTTTTTAATAAAAAAATAAAAATAATTGTCTCATCTTCTAATATCTTAATTAAAAATTATAAAAAATATATTTAAAAAAATAGAAATAAAAATATAATATTATCGCGTTTCTGTAATATAATACTCTGCCGCATCATGCAAATTCTCTGAATTAAGTTATAAGAATTAGTTATACACACAAAAAGAAATGAATATTGCCCCTCCCTTTCCTCTCCCCCCCCATACACACACACTATGTGATTACACATTATAATATATTAATGCTATTCTTAGGTTGTAATATACAGATTTTATTACATATATACAGGGATGAGTAATAATTGTATCACATGAAAATATTGTTTGTTTCCACAGTACATTCTAGTTTGGTTTAGAAATATTATTGAAATATCTCTAAGTATTTCTAAAATGTATTTAATTATTCGAGTATTATATAAAATTTTCAATTTGAGATCTTTATCTAACAGAGGAACATTGGATTAGGCTTTTAATTTAGATATTAATTTGAATAGAATATATATAGAAAACGCATATATTTAACGATCTATTATCTATTTTTCTCCTTTTTATTATTTTCTCATTAATTCTTTAAATTTAAGATAATATTCAAACAATGCTTCTTCAGTTTTAGACTAGCAAATAATATAGGAAAATTTTTTTCTATTAATTCAAATTTATATGAAATATCTGAAAATATTTACCTTATTATAATAACATCAAAAAATTGTGTAGTATGTTTCTATGCGGGATATTATCTCTATTATATATTATAATATCACAGAAACTGTAGTAATATTTTATACATATACTATGAATTTTTCTTTTTCCTAGAAATCAATATAGAATAATTTTTCCAATAATTATAATTTGCAAATTATAATTATTTAAAAAACAATTTTATTGTCTTTAATCAATTATTTATATAATAATTTCAATTTCCTTTATATAAATATAAAATTTGTACATGTGTTTCTATGTACAATGTTAATAGTCGTCTCTGTAACGTTTCTGTAAACAATAAAATAAATAATTAACTTTTTGATAATTGAACAAAGTAGATTGAGCGATAGATTGTTAATAATTCGCTAATGAAAAAATTGTCGAATACAAATATGGAACATTTTAGGATTGTTATAAGAAATTTTGGTGATTTTATTTAACGTGCATAAATATTTCCACAGAAGAGATCGATTACGATAATTAATGAAATTTATAGAACTTCATTTAGATCTTGCACAAATTACAATTAGATTACAAAAATATTTCAAATTAAAGAACCTAAAATTTGGAAGACTAGATAATACTAGTAGCATTTTCTGAAAACAATGTAAGAAGACAATATTATATTAATATAATAAGTTTTAACTAAAACAAACATACAATAATCAATGTGATAAAAAATAAGATACATTTTATTTAAAAAAATAAAATTATTTTGATAATTTCTTGTATTACAATTATGATTATCTGATGAATCACATATGATATTTTATCTTTTAGTTTGTTTCTTAACATTAGTACAGACTTGATAATATTTCTATAATTTAAGCGTATTTATGCATAATTCTATCTTTAATTTTTCTCTTTTTACGAAGGCAATATGTTGTATATTTAATTATCATTTCTGTTTAGTCTACAAGTATTATATATTGCTTATTTTACACTGATATTTTGTATTTCTATTGCTAGAATTGTCACTTGCAAAGTTCCATTGCATGTTCTGTACATTTTAACGAACAATTGTCTTTTATTGCCTCTGGTTTTATTTCAATCTTGATAATTATTGACTCTTGGCGATGGTTGCTCATATTTGCATATCACAGCATAAATATCGCCACCTAAACGTTGCGCCAGCCATCGATTTTTTATAACCGCCAATTTAAGACATTCGCACTTCATTTTAGCATAAAAATTCGTATGTAAAGTTCTACCCATTCCCTCGATGACTATAAGATCCACGTTATGCTTAATCATTGCAAGACAGAGATCCAAATTCAGACGACTGTCGGACGTCAAAATAATATTAGTGAATTAATTTATTAAATTTATATTTAAATACAATCTTTTTGTATCAAAAATAACCATTTATTATGTTTGTATCTATAAAATATTCTAAATATAAAAGTACCTGAGATCTAGACAGGGGCCTGCTTGCGCGGTTTCCATAGCAATAAGAGTATTATTTTCTAGACCCTGTTTAATAACATCACAAATTTTTGCGACATCCCGTAACAAAACGACCAATTCAGGATAAGTTACATCGTTCAAAGCTGGCAGAGAATTAGCACATAATATTATCTAAAAAAAAAAAAAATGTTTATATAAATGAATTAAGTTTGATTAATTGTTTAATAAATTAATTTTTGAAAACAAATAAAACATTTTAGCTCAAATGAACAATATTAATAAAATTAACCTTAGTCCCTCGTTGCAACAAATCTCGTGCAAATGGCAAAATTCCAAGAACTATATCTGCACCGCTATTGTCAACAAAGATGGCTGCACATTTGTGAGGTGGTCCATTTTGTAGTCTGTGTACCCAATCATTTAAATTATCTTTTAGCCATGGTCTACCTACATTATCGTGATAAAATATTTTAAAAAATTATTTTAAAATATATCAAGGACTATATAAATCAGGACTTATTAGAAAATAAATATATTAAACAATATTGATTATTTAATGATGATGATTTACCTGGAATTTTTGCTTGAGCTTCTTCAAAACCAAAGTCATTGTTTTCCAATAGTTTTACGACATCTTTTGCACCCCAATCAAATATATTGCCACTGAGAACACCCAATATCAAAGCTGTTGTCTTTTCTGCGCCTTCTAATTTATCTATGGATGTTATGCGATCATGTAGAAAACTTAATGCTTTTTCATTCTCTTTTCTTTTTTGCTATAAATAAGACATTATCACGTGACATAAATTTCATTTGAACACGTTTATTTTAAAATTTCTAAAAAAAATAAACTAGAGATACCTACATGTAAATATGGATCTGGAAAATCAAATTCTTTCATGCAATGCTCGATGATATCTAATAATGTTCTAACCGCAAGTGTCCCATATGCACTGCAAATCCATTAAAAATTAATAATCTGATAAATAAATATAGATTTTTTATATTTATAATTAAATTTACAATATTTATCACAGCAATGAGAAACTCACAATGGTTGCGCCTGAAGATAATGTAATTTGTTAATATATTTCTCCTTTAATTTTAATCCTCTATCTTTTGCTGTCAAACTGTGTGGTTGACTGCGAATAGCAGTCAACACAAATTTATCTGCAGATTCTTCCAAACATCCCAGCCAATAATCTCTATAAATATAAATATTTTATAAACTGTACATTTGTCTCATCATAATATTTAAGGGTCGGCAGGACTGACGGAACTTGATCTAAAATGATTATCTATTTCTTATTTACAGTGCAGATATGTATCTGTACTCAATTATATTTTGTCTTATAGAAACGATGTTTCGTCATGAAATTTTGCTAAGATAATTTCTTTTACAATTACGAAGGTACCTACAGAGCCAATTTTTGTAATTTTAACTCTTTGAATAATTAAAATAAATGTAACTATCTACTCCTTATTTACAGTGCAGATATATATTTGAGTACACCCATATATCATCTCGAAGAAGCAATATTCTGTCATGAGCCTTTCTCAGTGTATTTTTTATAAAATTATGACTCTTGCTACAGAGCGGAATTTTGAAATTTGGCTCTTAAAAAAAAAATTTACAATTGATGAAAATATTTGCACTTTATTGTCCTATAGTGCAAATCTATTTACGTACAAAATGAATTATTTATTTTCACACATTTTCTTACAAAAATCGCTCTGTAGTTTTCGTTAGGCAAATATTCCGATTATAAATATCATAATTATATAGCTTTTCTCGCAGTATTTTGGCCGTAATATGGATGAAAAGGAATTCATCTCCGATAGAAGTCTCCATAGTCTCTCCTGCCGATCCTTAAATTTAAATATAAAAGTCTCACCTTGCTTCTTTATCCTGAGTGAGATCTGTAGTATCAGGATTGTAAGATGCAGGATCTTCCAATAATGGGCAGAATGTAACAGCGCATTCTACTTGATCAATTTCTAATTGATCGACTTTAATTCCAAGATCAGTTGAAACAGAATCTTTAAAACTCGATGAACCAGCATAATTTTCCAACCAGCTATATTTATCTATTTGTTCGGTCCCATATAAATATGCTCCAATTGCGCCAAGGTAACCTTCATGGCGAAGAAAGAGAGGCTTTACCTTATCCTAAATAGTGGATATATTAACATAATAATATAAATTATATATAAAAACGTATCTGTATTTATCTTGCACTTTGTTGAATCCAGTTAATTACATTAATTAACTTGATTCGAAAGTATAATTAGAAGATCTCTAAAATGTTATAAAAAGACAAAGCAAACATATAAAAACTAACATGAGACCAATATTTGATGGAGTATGAGATAGTATACATTGATAATGGATGGTTACGAAGGAAATAACCGCCAAAATAAACCTTGTCCGTGTTGTAAACAGTTGCGTATAAACTAGCTATCTGTCCGATATCATTACTAATGGTAAATAATAAACTCCTTACAAGATCAGCTTCAGAAAATTTTGGTTGTCCTAGAATGTTATTAATATAATTAGTATCTGAAACCATTATAAATATACAGATTTTATATCTAGTGATATCTAATTATAAAGAAAAATGTATATGAGTAAATTATTATATTTTTTTAAGTTATTTTTATGTCAAGTTATTAATGAGTTTTAGTGTAATTGTTTATTTATATATTATATAGAGGTTTTACCACAAGCTACTGCCTTGCCAAAAGATGATGCAATAAGCTCTCCAGGTAAACCTTGGGAGGAATAATCGCCTCCATAAATATCTTTCACTAACATGTCTACATTACGGTGGTCTCCTCGTTCTGCAAGTTGCAGCAATTCATCAAAGTCCTAGTAGGGTGTTTTTAAAGTCATTGTTTTAATACATATTTATATATACAATTCACATGACTCAATGGTATTACGATGGCAGAATCTTCTCATATAACAATTCATTTCACCATAACTTCTAGATATTTATAAAAATTAAATAAAATCTATCCAAATAAAGACATCAACGTGCATTTGTTGTACTAATAATAAAAAAAAAGTAATCTAAGAAAATTCATAAATTCTATACCTTTCTTTTTGTAAGTAGTGATCCCAATCCCCAAAATGTACCTCCTCCTGTAGCCGTACCTCCAACTCTTTCAAATACTTCATCTGATTCTACCTATAAAAATAAAATTTTTTTTAAATAAATCTATTTAAAATAATTTGTTATATAAAATTTATTAAATGTTTATTGCTTACTTTAAGAATACTGACACCACTGCCAACATTAACTAGTAAATATGGAAATATATTAGGTTCAGCTTTTTGAAATCTATATTCTGGGTTTGCATTTCGATGATATTCAAATGCTTCACAAGGTATATTTTTAAGCAAAAAATTGCATCCCTTTATCAGACAGTCTATCTCGTCTTTCTTGTCAACTCTGAAATTTTATCTTATCAGTCAGTAAATAGCAATGTCTCAGATATGCATATATCTCTCTTAATATATCAAAATTAAACAATATAAAATTAAACATTTCATGTTACAAGACAATATTTAGAAAAATTTGACAAAGATATATATATATATTATATATCAAATAATTTTCAAAATATAAAATCAAAATATGAAACTTACAGTAATCCTAATTTTTCTTGCAACAATGGAGTATATTTGAATGCTCCACCTCCAGTTACTTTAATACTTTTTCCATGAAAACGTTCAACATCTACTAAGTTTTTTTTGACAAAGTCTAAGCAGTTTTCGATATACTTTGTCTCAAACTTAACAAAATGTAGTCTATTACCCTCACATACTTTATATGCTAGTTCTCCACTATTTCCTAAACCCTCTGCATCCTCATAAAGTGCTTTGCGATAACTTACTGTTGAGTAATAGGCGATTTTAGTTAATGATAATCCTAAAATAATATAATAAGATTACTGCAATGAATAACCATTAAACATTTAGTAAGTTTATTAAAAACACATTTGTTTTGAATAAAAAAAAATAATATAAAAATAATTATTTTATAAGAAATGTAAAATAATTATTTTATTTAATAATTATTAAAAAAATAATTATTTTATAGGAAATGTAAAATACAAAAGTTAGAAATTTTAGATTTAAGAAACAATTACTTTATTTCTTTGAAAAATATTTATCGGGATAATTCGTAAAACATCCTCATCAAAAAGGCATTATTATGAGACATTTCTTATGTTGTGTTTGTGTTTACTCAAGTAACAATTATATAAATTAGAATATAGCTGTACAATTTAATACATAATTTAATACATAATTATATTATCCGTTTGTATTAACAAGTGTCATATCATATTATCCTAATGGAGTTGGATCATTGATATAAATGTTAACTAGATATATTTGATCTTTTCATCTAATGAGATGATGATTAGCCTTCTAAAAGATTGGGAATTGCAAAGAGGGTTGATCTCAAAGATCTTAATCAATAACATACCGATGTCAATGGCGAAGGTCTGCGCATTCTTCAGATTGGCAAATACTTCAACAGCCGGTGGCAACTTCATGCAATGCTGATGCGACTGTTCGTCGACTTCCGCTGCCATCTCCGCGTCCACGGGGCGACGACGCTTGGTTTTTTTCTGCGGCTGCGATATCGATGCCGACACCACGATACCTCCACGAGCATTTAACGCAAATGCAAACTTGCGACAGGTGGCAAACGCATCTACATCACAGGTGATCGAACATTAGATGAGCAATCTCCAATTTATCGCTGATAGAAATGACTCGAAACTCGAGCGGGAAAAAGCTTTTACTCCTTCTTCCGTTGTCTATCTGAATTTATTATACGAGATCTGTTTACTCGTGCGTGTCCGGACGGCGTAGATAACTGCGGATTTAAAAGTGAGTGTCGTAACGAACATTTACATATATACATATATTTACAGATCATATATACATATATACACGCATATGTACAGATATCAGATAAAATGGAGAAATAAAGAAAGAAGAAAAAGAACAGAGGAGGAAGAGAGAGAGAGAGAGAGAGAGAGAGAGAAAGAGACGAGAGAATATTTTTTTTTTATATGTGCATTTATATTGTTATAAGCAGATGTTTGACTTATCCTTTGTAAATAAACTTTTATACATACCATTCAACAGAATAAGATGGAAATTAGATAAAATAAAGTAACTGAACAAAAAAACAGTATAATCATATATGTGTACTTCGTGTCGATACCTTTGACTCTCTGCGGGACGGTTATCAATCCTTCACGTTAATATTTGAAAATCCAGGAATGAATAAAAGAATCTTAAGAGCTCTATTATAAACAGTCATACCAGAGAGCGACTATGCCGGCCTTTTCGGTGGGACTGTCAAAGCCCTTACACACTACCGCTAATACATTTCTAAAATTTGGAACTACTTAGTTATATTCATTTTACGTGCTGCCGATAAAATCGCATTCTGATGCGTGTCTGTGCTATATCCACAATTCATGGATCACGATATGCTTATACAGGATAATTCAAAATAATCCACAGATCCTTCAAGGGACATATCCCTAATCGTATTCCGACATAAGCTTTCTTTTTAGCAAAAGTTTGTCCGGAAACTTAGTTTTTAAGTTATAAAGAGAAATAGTTATATAATATATAAACATATTGACAAATGTACATATTATTGTTAAAGTTAATTAATAATAATTAATAAAATAATTAATACTTTAGTCTATAATAAAAAAATTATGCAGAGATGTAATTATACAAGATGATTCAAAATAACCCATATGTCCTTCAGGGGATATTCCTAATCGTATTTTGAGACAATTTTTCCTATAGCAAAAGTTTGTCCGGAGTTTAGTTTTTAAGTTATAAAGAGAAATAGGAGTTAACGTATTATAGATCGGATATAGGAGATGAGGGACGGCATAACTCACCGTTACACGCAAATGTTTATCAAATTCATAAAAATGGACAGCAGCTAAAATTACTTTTGAATTTTATATGTGTAAAAGCATATTTTTCATTTCTTTAAACAACTGAAATTGTGTGTTTTTCTGTATGAATAGGCTTCATTTCCCATTTATGGCCTTTTATAGCTATTTACTACCAAGCTATTGACTACCAAGAGGGGAAAGAACAGTAGCCGTCCTGAGGCACTAGAGATAGGCTGATGGCAGAAAATGAGATGTAAGCGCTTACGTTTATCATAAACGTAAGAGGTTACACGTATCCGTGAAAAGTTATTAGATACGTATACGTTTTTCTCTGCCTTAACGTCTACGTCTACGTTTACGGTAAACGTAAGCGCTTACGTCTCGTTCTCTGCCATCAGCCATATAGGTATTCTCATCCGCCATTCTTAGTCCATTCCCCCACTCTTTGCTCTCTCTGTCTCGACGTCTCGCTGCTGAGCTGAAAAGGTATAGTGATTATAGGTTAAGTTTTTAAGTTGCTCGAAATTGTACAATTCCATTCGTTCCGTTTTTGCTCATATTCTGAATACTCACTGTAATGTTGGTTTAGAACCTGCGAGGAATGTTTGATGTTCAGATTATTTCTAAACAAGGTGCAAAATGCCCATCGATCTCACGGAAATTCGAAATACGGCGAAGTCTTGCGTCTAGAGCGCAAGGAGTGGGGGGAATGGATTGAAAATGGCGGCTGAAGATACCCGTATCTCTAGTGCCTTAGAAAATGTTACTTCTTTTAGCATAAAGAATCATATTTTGTACTCTATATAAAAATTTCGGAACACCCTGAATATATAGAATATATGAAATTATAATTCAAGTCGACGCAAATATCAAATATATACAGTGCTAAAAATCGCTAAAAATCGCTAAAAATATGAATATTGATAATTAATTAGAAATCGTTCTGCCACAACAATATAAAAAGTCGATTGTCTGTATCTATCTGCTTATTTCAATCGTGTTCACTCTTCCTTTTTTATCTTTATAGGATAACACATCTATTTTAATGAGGAAAGTAAATGAGGAAAGTACACTTTGTCATTCGTTGCATTCTTCCATATTTGAAATGAAGCGATACTTACTTGGATTTTCATCAAATAAAGGAAAATTGCGCATGGAACATATGTGTGAATATATGTGTATGTGCATGTGCATATGCGTATGTTAGGGGTTTATCTTTTCTTTTCTGCAGATTTTTTTCAAGCAGAGCGCAAGCGCTCTAGCGAACGTGTAAAGCTGCTTGAAATTACGTCTCTTTCATTTTTCTTCCTGCATTTCTCGTCGCTGCTCCGAGGTCTCGTCGATCAAAGATCAGAGAATCATCCGAGCCAAGTTGCGTTCAATTCTTTTCTCGGACAAAAAAATATCGACGAACATTTCGCTGAAGCAACTTTGAAATCACATAGCTTCTCGATAGCTTCCACGGTATGGTGAAGCGCGTGAGTTAGTGTGAGGTGCCCGCCATCTTAAGTTTATTGTGTACGATCGGACGCGCACACATTGTCATAAGGTGGAGGGAGAAAGGAATATGTCAGTCGACGAAGCGGAATCTATGTGGAATCCCGTTGTCGCTGGTTGTCGCTCTGTCGTGATCGCGTTCGGTGGCGCGGTATCCGCAACTTGAACGGGACAAATTTCAAAGAAACCTCGAGGATTAATTTCGCGCGGTTAATTATTCTCATCGCGCGATCAACGATCTCGTAGGAGACACGAGAGTGCGGAGTGCTAACGACTAAATTATCGCGGTGCGGTTGATCCCGATAGAAGAAGAAACGCCCGTGTTGTTCTCCGTGGTTAGGGTCTCGTTGGGTCGGTCGCGACGACGATGCGGGTGTAACGCCATGCTGAAGTGTGATTATATACGTGGATTATTATGAGAACGATCGGTATCGGAGAGAAATATCAACGAGTCCACGCTCTAAAAATGGCCTTCGCATTCGCGCGCGATGCGATAAATACGTGACCGTATCGTGCGAGGCTGCGAGATCCTCTCCACGATATCGCCTTATGAAACTTCATCCGCGCCCTACGTCGAAGCTATTCTGATACATACATGATGCGGTGTTTTTGAAGTAGGTTCGAAGAACGAGAATCCAACGAGAAGGGAAGAAAGACAAACACGAATGACCATGGCTATGCCATGGCATAAAGAATATGACACAGGAGCGTCGGAGCTTCCTGGACGATGTACCGTAAACGAGCTTTGAGATCCGCGCGAATTCACGGCTAGCGAGATCGCCAGAGAAAAAGAAGGTACACGCGGAAGGTACAGCGATTAGTTTCGACGATTAACTCGTTACATGTGAATATTTTTACACTTTCGCGCTGGAATTTTGTCGCCATCGTTGCCCTCGCTGTGCGACGTGTCCCTCTAGCTTGAACAAGCGGAGAACGCCTCTCGCGTTAGCAACGTGGATTACGTGACGAAATGTCACTTGTCAAGACTCAACTCCCGAGACGGCTTCTATAAAAGATACCTCGGGAAACCTACATTGTTTCTTAAAAATCAAACGCAAATTTTTTCCCATGGAAAGAATGTAAATTTATAGACTGAATTGGCACTTTAATGTTATGTTTTTGTAAATAAAAATGTCATTTTGTGGTGATAATTTGAAAAATAATATAATGACAATTTAAATAAGATAAATAAGATAATAAGATTTAAATAAGATAAAGATATATTAACCTATACAAATTCCATAGGATTTTCCATGCGGCAGATGTATTTTAAATGGATGGAAACAGAATCGATGATTTTGGAAATATGAAGCTCTCGACTATGCAAGAAAATGATGGAAATGAAGTAAGAAAATTTTCTGAAAATCAAGCCTCCAATGATGAAATCATGATGGGTGAAGCTGCTAATAATAAACATGGAGAAAATAGGACTTTAGAAAAAGAGGAGGGTTCTATGGTATCCAATCTTCCTCTCTTATTTGCTAATGGATATCCCACATCTCTGGAAAAAATTACTATGGTACATTAATTTTATTATCCATCTTTTTTACCTTAAGATAACTACCTTTATGAAATATATATTAAAAAAAACAATGAAAATCCATATTGAAAGATAAAACTATATTTCATTATGTTACATAAATCATATTACTATACTTAAACTATATCTTTTAGCAATCTAATATAAATATAAATATTTCCATAGGTACAACTGGAACGTTTTATATTATTCATGGTTCATTGTTCACTGGGACATGATACAACAAAAGTTATTAATAAACCTGAATGGTGGCCTCAAGATGTTAAATTCTCAAGTCCATTAACGAGACCTAAGAAAATCAATGATGTAAGTACAATTAGCAGAGTAATATTATTATCTTTCTTTTATAGAACTGCAAAGTATTATACACATATATATACATACATACATATATAATTATGTATGTATGTATGTATGTATGCGTGTATGTGTGTATACTTTGCAGTATATATATAAAAGATCAAGCCCTGTCTGTCAAAAAATACTAATCTGAAAATATTATTTTAGAATTGGATGGCAAATCTAAAGAAATTGGTTTTCCGGTGTTACACATATCACAGGAGTGAATATCTGTTACGTTTTTGTTCCTATTTAGCACAATACCCTCATGAGGAATTAGAATATGTTAATAATTGGGACTCAACGACTAGTCTGTACCATAAAAGTACAGGAAAGCTACTAGTGACATTTCGTAATGAAAATATGGTGTGTACCAGTATGTATACTTACAGATGTAGAATAATCAATCTGACAAATATCTTACTATATAGTTTGTTATATCTCACTCCCCTTGATTTAATGAATGAGAAAGCTTTCTGCGCCTACAGCATTATGACAGCCCCCGAAGAACATTGTTATCTCATAATGCATCTTCATCGAGCAATGGAAACAAGACTAAGCAACAGCAAGCTCCCATGATGGTTCAGCCACCATGCGATGATATTTATCTCTGTGACAATTGCGATGCCGAATTTGTAGGCCTCGCAAATATGAAGGTACTAGTATTGAATGGTATCGTGATTCATTTCTAATGAAACTAAATCGATACGCGATAGATGATATCCAACTAACGTAATACTTTTTATTTCCTTTTTATAATAATCTAGGAACATGAAAAAATATGTTGCGAACAAGATCATGGTGGTGGTAGTGGCTCGCGTTCGTCTACACCAGACTTGCCCATAGTCGAGCCCGAGCTACAACAGGATCAATTTCTAGAATATTTTCAGTTACAATCGAGTAAGACTGAGCATAAATCAGCTGATGCAAAAAACACAAATACTTCTGATAACGGTATAACTAGACGAACATCTGGACGTGTTAGAAGTTCCCTTAATTTTACAAGATGCGCAGCTATTCCATTTTCATCACCTGCTGGCATAATGTTAACAAAGAAATCAAAAGCAATGACCGAGGAAACGCAACAAGAACGGCTAGATAGAATAGAGAGGCATGTTATTGCGCCAGTATTGCGTGATTCGTGTAGACCAAAATGGCTGGACACAGAAATAGATAACGATAGATGGATAATAACGTACAAACAAAATCGGGATAAACCGATTGATCACTATGTACATGAATATAAATTCGTGAATTCTTCTAAAAACAAACCAAGTACGTGTTTTACTGTACACCACTATTTTTGTTTAAACATATATATGTCATTAGAATCTTAAAAAGTTAAAAAAAGAATAAATTGGGATATATGAAAATCTTCATTTTTGTTCTATTTTATTAAATTATTTTCTCTTCACTTCTTTTTCTTTGTTCTTTATAAGTGAAATAGTAGAACGACATTGCATTGCAAGAGCAGAGCATTGAAGAGAAAAAATAATATAGGAAATAGGAAACACAAAAAAATAGTAAGGTTGATTATATTTATTGATAAGAAAAGAAAAATAGTATATACAGATGTTCCAGAAAGAAAGATTAATATTTTGAGAAGTAATGATTGATCATTTTAAAAATGCTCTCATGAACATGTCTCTTATGAATAGTTATCAAAATTGAATGTGATAAAATGATAACTGATAAAAAAAGATTACGTACTATTTTTAATGATTTTTTGTTCAAGTAATATATTTAAAATTTATAATAAATTTTCAAAAATTTTTTATTAACATCAATACATTTTTCAACCCTTATGAGAACATGGCATGTTGCTCGCCTTAATGTATGATAATGTTCCTTTAAGCGGGTAATAACATTCATTATGTGAATTAGTATTTCGTCGATATATTAATTTTTCTTGATTTTATTCTTTAACCAAATCCATAAATAAAGGTCCAACAGAGTTAGATCTGAAGGCCAATTAATGGCATTGCCACGAATTCAAATTATCTCGAAAATTGTTTGTAATAGAACACATATTCATGTAAAGCATTCTTGCTCAAAATGACCAATACTTTCCAGGATATTGATTTTTTCTTCTGGAACACTATATAATAAAAAACAAGTAACATAATATTAAATCTATTTCATAAGAGTTTTTTAAATAGAAAAATCATATTCATTTTCTTTTCAGTGTTGAGTATACAATCACAATTACTCTATGCTACATGTCGACCTATCTATGCTGTTCTTACCCGATTAAGTGAGAAGCAACTTAATGATTTGAAAAAGGATCCTTCAAAATATCAGTGTCCTAAGAAAACTATTAATGTGCGAAAAGTTTTATTAACGAGAAGAGCAGGACCAGCTTGCAAAACAAAATCGAGAAAGGCAACTTGTGTACGAAATGCATCTATATCTTCAAAACGTAAAGCGCCATTAGATGAGCCAATTGTTGAAAAAGAAATCCACATTAATACATCAGCAGCTAAAGAAAAATTAATTGCGTCCGCTGCTGTAAAATCATTTACAGATAACGCTGAGGCTATCAAATTAACTAAAGAGAAAAAATGTGCATCACGTACGATAATGTTAATCGACCTCTGTTCATCCGACGAGGAAGAAAGCAATCCAAATATTCAGATGCCTTGTGATGAAAACAGAGATCCTAGGAATACCGCAGAATCTTCGATTGCGAAATCTTTCTTACGAAAATTATCGCCGAAACAAACTTTACGCGAGACGCTACATTTACCTTGCACACTTATCGACAGACTGGTTATCGAATAGTGTAGTGAATGAAAATAAAAATAATAACAAATATCAGCTGTTAAACGATATGCAAAAAAGAAAATACGTATGCTTTTCTTCGATTCTGGCAATAAATATTAAAAATCGATGTACAATAAGTTATTACTTATTATTAAATAAGTGATGACTTAACAACTGTACATATGTTATGTTTCTTATATTTATTATTCTAATAATTTTGATATAAGTATATAGTTGAATTTATATTATAACACAAGACTGTTATAGTTTTGCAACTTTATCTAAGAAATAAAAGATTTTGTTGATCATGAATTGAATGAATGGATCGTTTAGATTTGTGAATATTGCTTTAAAAGAAGTTCATGAGAGTAGTAGGAGATAAAAGTAGGGTAAAAATCTGGAATAATTTACATGGTAATTCTTAAATGATGAACAATTAAAATTTATGATTATTTGCTTAATTGCTTATTATTTAAAAGTCATTGTATATACTCAATATTTAATCAAAGTTGTCTAGATTAATATTCTGCATTCTTTTAAATTTGTAAGAAACATTCGCTATAACAGCCTCTCATGTGTATGATAATCAAGGAGTATATGTTATCTTGAAATCTATTATTAAAATATTAATACAAGTTTCAGTTGATGTATATAAATAAATAATTTAAATAGAAATATGTAAACATACAGTACAGAATGGAATATGTGTGAATGCACTATTTAACTTTTACTATAGTATATAAAATTTTACAATATCATTGGTTAAAAATTTAAAGTGATTTTTTTATTTTATACAGATATATATGTTTTGCTAGAAAAGAAATCGAGAGATTTTTATTTCTCAGAGAATATATATATAATCAAAAAAAAAAAAAGAAATAGAAATGAAAGAAAACTGCATCTGTTTATCATTAATATTGTTTATTATTCATGGGAAATATATTTCAAATATGAAAAATGCAAGAGAGAACATAGTTCATGCTTTTAATACATATGCTTAAAAGTCTTTATTCTTGTTTTTTCTTTGTTCCAAATAATTTTCCTATGAAAAAGGAAACTAATTTACCTTTCCAATCCTTTTCAATGCGTTTTAAAACTAATCGCTTCGTGGAAATGTTGTGAAGTGGACCGAATGCTAATGCGACAGCTGTACAGGCAAGGCATATAACATTATAAGGCATACTAAAATCGGGAGTCGGAAGACTGATAAGCAAGGACTCTGTCCGTAATTGTACTAGATAACCATCCCTCGAAGCATTAAAACTGTAAGTTTAATTATGATACTTCGCTTATGTCATCATTTATTTTACTTATATAACAATTGGAAAAACATTTTGTCAGTTTGGTAAAAAGATAAATAAACAAACCTTGAAGTAATTGTACTTCCATCGAGTGGCAGAGCAGTGTAATTTCTAGCTATGGGTAACAAAGCTGTAATTATGGCTGGTCCCATATAAAAACCGTGATTAGCATCCGGCGGATATTCTTGCCATTTGAGAAATAAATAATCCATATCGATGGAGATTTTCGTTACTGAATGCGGTGGCAAGCGCAGGATTAATTCCAAATAGTACGGGCTTTTTCTCTCCCTTCCAGGTAAATAACGTTGCGCCACTGTAATATAAGATGTATTGATGTTTAATAAGTATATTGTAGTTTTCATAACAATAAAACTTCTTTTATAAATTTTATGATCGTCTATATTATACATATATGAATTTTATATTATTCACAAATAATCAGTAAGCTTACTATCAATTCTAAGACCAACTTAAGATTATTTTACAGTACAACAGTATACAAATATGATGTATTTAAACACAGAAATGAATTTTTAGTTGAGGCTATATTAGTGCATAGTATTTTTTTTTCAAATTAATATTATAAAGAAAGATGTTACGAAAAGACTTATTTTTATTGTGTTCGAAGAAAGTGAAATAGACATCATTTCTTATAATTCTCGAGGCAAGAAATCTAATGGTGTTAGTTCAAATCACGTCATATGAACGTGTGTGAAGCTGGCCCTGCACTTTTTGAACTTTGTATTTTTCTTAATTGTGCTTCTACATTAACATTTGTATTAAAAAAAGGTGGAGGAGAGAAAGAGGGAGAGAGAAAGAAACTGAAATTTTTGCCAGTCCCGCACTTAAAAAATTTTGAATTTTTAATAACTGTGTTACATTTATGTTAAAAAAAAGTCGATATTTCAACAAAAACTGCAAAAAAAATGTTTACTAGTCTCGCAGTCTCTTTTTCATTTCGATTAAGTTGAAGTTTTTTTTTTTTCCTAAATTAGCATTAACTTGTGCCATCGGAAAAATGTCAATACCATCATGTCAATATGTCATTTCGTTTAAAAAAAAAAAAAAATTCACAAAGAAGAAAAAGATAGTACATAAAGATAGTATATAAATAACATTGCAAAAGATAGTATACAAATAACATTGCAACACCAATATAGAATTTTTACAAGTGTTGTGATTAATTATATTTTTTAATTATATTCATTCTGTGAAATGTTAGAGATGGCAGAAAATAAGGAGCGTTTTCAACATGTCATGCTTTTTTATTTCTGAAAAAACAAGAACATGTCATAGACTCAAGATAAGATGTATATTGTACATAGAAAAAATGCTATTGACAATTTGATTATATAAACGTTCATGAAAAGAAAATTTGAATTTTGATAATAATATTTTAAATGATTAAGATTGATAAATTCTTGATTTTAATTGAAAATAATTGATATCTAACTCTGATTATAGAAATATTTGATATTAATCAATTAACTATTTCAAGGAAATATGTAGATATGTAAATATGGAACAAAAACGAGTATGAATTGATGAATACATTCATCAATTAAAAAGCTTATTAATGATAACCAAAATGATTTGCCATGATGTAGTAGTTTGTCCAACATAAAATTTTTAAATAATTTATCAAAAATTATACAAATCCATTTTGAGATATAAATATTTTAATTCATTTTTTTAAGAATATAATAAATTAGATAATACTAATAGTGCTAGCGCAAGATGCGTCGACCTCGAATTTATGTTGAAAAGATTGTATCAGAAATATCAAAATTGGGAGCAAAATTGTGAGTCTAACCAAAACAAGATATCTAGTGATAAATAGTGACGCGAATTTTAAAATAGTAATAAATGATAATGTGAATATCAAGTAAGTAAAAAAATTTAAACATGTAGAGCATATATTGATAGAAATGAATTGGAAGAAACTGAAGTCAAAAAGCGAATTCAACAAAGTATCATAGAAAGCTTGAACTTATCAGTATAGTAGTATTATTATTTATTTATTAAGAATTTATTAAGGATTTATTAAGAAAAACATATAGTTCTGGCTTTAGTCAGTTAGTTTCGCTATATGACAAATCCATAGAGTAAGGGCACATAATTCATTGCAGAAGTATCTGTTATTAAATTTACAAAAAAATTATTAAACTAAGTTTTAGCTTCGATCAAAAATATATTCCATTCCTGTATTTATAATTATTATTTTATGTTTACTTACATGGACGAACTTGTTTCTCATTCTGAGTTATTGTAATAGAATGTAAATAAACTAGCAAGTACCATGGAATATTTTCTAATAAGATTACATCTAACGCCTGCCAGTGATTGTTATACAATTTAGTCACTAAACTGCCTCTTTCTTGGCCATATCCTAAAACAATATACATATAAATTTATTATTAATTTATTCATACAAATATATTAATCAGTAAATTCAAATTTCTAAAGTCATAATTTCTCAAATTATATATTATAAATATAAGGTGTCTTACAATTAATAATGCATTTTCAGACAAGACTCTAGAACAAGTTATAGAAAAGCATTTATCGATATATAGTCGCAATAACTAATAAGATGTTAATTTATAAAAATCTACGCGAATATAAATATGCGTCTACATAAAGAGGAGACACCTTAGCGTTATGTACACTTGCTGATATTTATAAAGTAATATCTTATTAATTTTCTGCGAAATAATATAAATTTTCTACTCAGTATAATTTGCTCTTGCTCAGAAGTGCATTAGTAATTATGGGACATCTTGTTTGTATTTTTATTTTTTACAACATATATATAATAAAAAAGATAAATTTACTTTTAAAAATCTTTTTTACGATTAAACATACCAATAATATATCTATTCGCATAGAGAATTGAGGGATAATTTATAATACTATTCTTTGGCGCACTATGTACAGCAGCAATATTAAATATTCCTCTACTGGAATGAGCCCTGATATCATATATTGCTATTTCACTCTGTTGTCCACCACGCAAACTAACAACTTTTGCATTTGGTGGTGGTGTTAGTTCGTATACATGATTTGTATTGTTGTCAGATATGTCAATATAAATGTTACTTAATATTGCAAGCGGACATGCACCTTTAAGCCCCATTCCAAAAAATTTTCGTATCGACCAATCCTGTGTAAATTGGATATAAATAATTGTATGGTAAAATTGTATATATTACAATTTGTGATAATGACTTTATATCATACCTGATTTATATCTATTACTGTATCATATATTAAGGAAACAGTTTGTTGTAGTTCTAAAGATGGCTTTGTACAAGTTATATCGCGACATATTGATCGGAAATGTATTCCAATGGAATGATAATTTGTATTATGAATATGTGCCGAATTTAACAATGTGGCTAGACCTCTCTGAAAGGAAAGTAATTGGTTACATTGATTAATAAATCAATATAGATGACACAATCTTGCCGAGCAACGCTATCTATTATCTTATTATAAGATTATGTGTATAATTTATATTACATTTTTTAGAAATCAGTTTAATTTACTTATTATTCTTCATAAGAAAGATATAGTAATATGCAATTTGCGAGTACCTTGGAATCACAAGGCAATAATTTTTTGAATGGTGTTAGATTTTCAGTACAAACTATCTCTCTCGGTAATGATGAATAACGCAGATGACTAGAATTCACTGGTCCATCCGTAACACCAGTAGGACGAAAGGTAAATTCTGGTGACATACTGTTGGATGCATCAACAAAATTCAGAGATGCGCAAAGTAATCCAGCTAAAGCATTTGTCAGCCCTTTCCACTCCTCGTCTACGCTACAAAAGAAAACTTATATGTTACTATCTTTTTATAGTTTTAAATTAGTTTTTTTTTTAATAATTCAATCGTGACATGAATAATTAAATTTTCTTTATTTTAAATTATGTTTTTGCGCACATATATCTAACATATTAGAATTAAATATAAAGCCAAATATTCAGATGTTTTAAAAAAATTAAAATTTTATCATTATTAATCTCATAGATTCAATTTTGTGTAATACAACTTTATAATACAACTAATACATATAATACTACATATTTTAAATACTTCAGTAAAATATTTTGGAATCTAAGCCTAATAAATAAAAATTTAAGGAAAAAAGTTTGAATTTTTTGAAAATATTTAGAGATTTTTTTCAAAGTTATCTTAATTTTATTTTTTTTAATGGAACATTTTATGATTTGGATACATTAATCAATGCAGTTTTTATAAAGGAGAATCCATGAATGTACAAAGATCTGCTTATAAATCTTTCCATTAAAAGTGAAAAACATAGAGTTCAACACCAAAAACACTGCCGTAGAAATTCATTTTGAGGAATCCAAGTATTCCCAATGATAATTCTATTTTTTAATTATACTTTTTTAAAATGTAACTTCTAAGCATAATTTCATAGCAGAAAATTAAAACTTTATTAATGTATTTAAAAATGTCAGATTCTATTTAAAAAAACATAAAGTTGACTTTAGGTTGACTTTGAAAAAAGCTACTTTAAGAAAATTCAGTGTCAACTTTTTTTCCTTATTGTTAAAACTTATAAATTATCTGAATCATTTTTGCTTGCTAGTTTTTAAGATATTTGATTGGCTTATTTAAATAAAATACTCTGTACAATTATCATAATATTTAATAAAAAGTTAATATTTAAAATAAAATAAAATTTAAAAAAAAAGTTAAATTTCAGAATTATTTCTCACTTTGTTATATCCCTTTTGAACCAAGCAATGATTTCGGCACCAGGCCCAGCATCATGGAAAGGATATCCCCATTTTTGATAATTCCACAAACCTTCCGTTAAAGTAACATGTAGCTCGTCAACATTATGGCGACCAATGATCTCACCCAATCCCCTTGGAAAGAGATGTGTATGATGAACTGAAATGATTATTATTTGTCAATTACACTAAATAATTCAAACTTATTTTATAAAAAATAATAATTTTGGTTATTAATAATTAAATGCTCTATTAAGAATAACATAAAAATACTTAAAAAATTTTTTTATAAAATAATACAGTTTTATTATAATAATATAATAAAATTAAAGAATTCTTAAATGCAACTTTGAATTAAGTTTATTTTATCGTATGCTTTTTAATATTTTCTAATCACAAAAGAAAACAATATTTACATCTTGGCTCATATAATATATATATATATATATATAAAAATGAAAACTATTTTATATCATTTACATCAATTAAATCATTATTGTTTTATCATTGTTGATTAAATGTAAGATGCATAAAACTTTTATAAAGTTTAAACCAATTATGTGAAGTACTCACGTGCTTCTATGTGATTTGCCGTCTCCCATATTGTAGTAAATTGAAAATAGGCATAAATGTGATTATTCGGCAAAGGCTTCAACATTAATTCTTCATCAAAGAAGTCGTTATATGCATCATTGTATGCACGTGCCTCAATGCCAATCAAAGCGGTAAGTAGTGCAAATACGTGCGGGATTATCATCTTTGAGGTTAGGTAGCATCAAGTAATTTATTACGCATTCGCTTAACCGCTATACTTTCTCGTGTAACAAACAATCATAATTTGCACTTAACAGTCTACATAAACATGTAGACTGTACGTATTAATATTACTACTTCTTAATTTCTTGGCCGTGATTTCCAAGCGGCGCCAATATAGGCTACGATTCAAGTCGTATATAATCTGAGTACAGAATCGAAAATTGGTAAAATTAAATCGAAATTGGAAAACAAAGATAAAAATGCGCGATGACGCAATGTAAAAATTATATAAGAACGAACGCATCTACACAATAATGTACGTACGATTGAGCTGTCAATCTTGAAATTGTAAATATATATTCATATTTGTTCTTTTTTAATATAAAGAACAAGAAATGACTCCTAGAGTGTATACATCGAACGCTATGTCGGTATGACAGGTTTCGTAACCTCTAAAGTGGCTAACTTTAACACTTCATATTTCAATTTGCGGGGCAGAGCGACGCTTTTTTGCCAAATTCTTTCGTTTTGTGCAAAATCGCGTCGAATGAATCTATTTTTAAGAAAAACGGAGATAGGGGACCTAAACTAAACACTTATCCTATTTAATTCCAACATGCTAAAATAGGGCGCTAGTGTACGGGGGAGGAGGGGGGGAGGAGTTCGACAGTCCCACGAGAAAAGCTTGGTCGCCTGGGTTTTTCTCTGAGAAATTCTCTTTGATGATATACGCTCTCTGATATTTACATGCGTGTATATATCGAATTATAAATTTTATACTGTACTTTAAACAGTCATAAGTATAGCATAAGTTTTGAAAAATGAGTAAAATAAAGCAAAGTTATTCTAAATGCAGTGTTAAAGGATGTAAGAATAATACTAAAAATTCACAATGTAGTTTTTTTATTATCCCAAAGATATTGAAAGGTAAGTTTTTGTAATTTAGAAATTGAGTTATATCAAATTAAGTAAAGAAATCTTATTATGAAATATAATATTCCTAATATTTAGTTTTATATTATAAATTATGTTTTTAAGAGCAAAGCAATGGGCTATCGCATGTCTTCGGGAAGATCTCGCGTCTAAAGCACATCTATTGTATAATTCCTATAGAGTTTGCGGCGATCATTTTGAAAAAATCATGTTCAAAAATGACTTGAAAAATAGATTACATCCTCACGCGTTTCCAACTCTAAAAATCACAAATAATGAAAATGATCAAAATGTTTCGGTTAGTATGTTAGTATGTTATATAGGTAATATAGACATATAGTGACATGCAGAATACATTTACACATACAATTATAAAAAATTAATTATAAAAAATATGAACTAAATAGATTCTCTTTTTAAATTTAATATTCATAGGATGAATAATTGATTAATTGGGACCACATTCTTATTGACTACAGCAATTAGAAATTCATCAATTTGTGTAAATGGAATCAGTTATGTCCAATCGCAACATAATAATAGAGAAGACTACATTTCTGTTGAACAACTTTTTCAAATTATCATATATGATAAATTTTTGACTTGTTAAAATATAATGTAATATAATTCTTACAATTTCTAATTATAATAATTTGATTTTATAGACTAATACATATTTATTAATCTTATTATAATTGCTATTAATATTCAGAAATAGTTCCATCATTTTGACAGCTATTAGTTATAATGATATACATGTGATACAAATATAAATATAAATTTAATTATAAGATTATATATATATATATATATATATATAATAAACATACATACATATACATATTATATATACATACATACATCATCATACATACATACATACATACATACATTTCTGTATACATATGAAATTTTTGTTTCGACTTTTATATCATATTAAGTATCTATTTTAATTTTCAGAATTGAATATTTTCTTCATGTAATCTTCTAATTCATCAATATCAGTTTTATAGGTACACACTACGAAATTTTTATATAAAGACAATATTAATGCAACGTGACAGATCTGGATTACAGATTAAAATAATAAATGACGAAAAAGCCATAAAAGCATCTAAATTAAAAACATTTGTCTCTTTTCAATTCCTGTTACTCTCGTGGTCTAGATAGGAAACTACTGTCGTGATAGCGTAAGATGGCGCTGATGAGATGCGCGCGCTGTCGCGTTGTGTCATGGACTATAAAAATATAAGAGGGTGTCCCTACAATTTGAGATTTAACAAAAGTGAGATAGAAAGTTTTGGCAGCCTGAGAGGTCATGGACGCGTTTTACCTGTACCCTTGTTCGCGTAGATAATGTGCACGTTTTTGTGGTTCTCTTCCGTGCTAGATGCAAAAATGATAAAGATGGACAGTCGTGTTCATATCGTCTATCTTTATCACTCTTGCATCTAGCACAGAAGAGAAACCATAAAAAATATGCACATTATCTACGCGAATAAGGGTACAGCTAAAACGTGTCCATGACCACTCTCAGGCTGCTCTCTGGTGTCCAATTGCAACGTCGTCAATGGGATGTTCCTTTGTTTTGACATTTAAAGAAACACGTCAGTGTGTAGGGTGATTTTGACAGATTTCTTAAAGATCAGCAAAGGCAATTAATCGAGCCACAAAGATGGAGTCAGACGAAATTGAGGGAGCGTCGAAATCAGGAACATATATTCGAAACGACAAAAAATGCCGTCATCGATTACGACGAAGACAGAGTAAGGTTAGAATTAATTATGCTCAGAGTTAAATATTTACGAATATACGTGTTATTCGCGTAATAATTGGTTGTGTTCAGTGAACACAACGGTTGTACAATGATTAAATAACGGTTTCATTAACGGAATTCATTAACGTAATTGATCTAAATTTAAAGATCTAACAATAAAGATCATTGATCGTTCATTTATTGTTGGTTTCACTGAATGCAGTTATTGTTACAGTGTATACTTTAAAGAATAAATTATTTTTTGCATTTGTCCATTCTAAATAGTTAGAAAATCGGTTTGTCGAAATTGCTGATTATCAATAATTGTTCGTAAATGTTCAACATTGCTTATATCTTGTCCGTTTACAGAGGAAAATTTTTTTTTTTGGAATTTTTTTCTGAAATATTTTCTAGACAACTTTTTATTCTTGCTTTATAATAATTATAATATTGCATTAAGAGTTCAATGCTCAATTTTTAGCCATTACTGAAATGATTTTATCATTTCAGTTGCATGAGATGACTGCGTCTTATTCTGAAATATCATTTGATTCCCAATCCTCGCCACCTATCTCAGAATTAAGATCGCTTATTGACTCTCCAGACATTGACAGTGGAAAATTTTTGGATGATAATCTGGAGAAAATGGGAGGAACAGGTCATAGACCAGATCAATTAAATTTGCGAAGTAGAGATGACAGTCCAATAGAAAATGACGATCTTGACCCACCAAGTTATCACAAAGCTATGGGTTATTTGCAACTGGAAGGAAAAGTAATGCAGGATGGAGATATGGTGTTGTTTGTGACAGAAGATTTAGAAAACAAAATCAAATTGTCTAGTCCTGTAACCAAAAAGGGAGATACTCCATCATTTCCAGGATCTCGGAGCTCAACTCCATGCTTATATAGACAAGCTCTAACTCCACAATTACCACCTCTTGATCACAATGTATTAAATGAATTGGAGATGGAAGCTAGAAAAGTTGCAACTAGTGTGGATGCACTGACTGAAAATCTGGCCGCTATTTTACAAAATGTAAATCATTAATTATTGTATATTCTAATTATGTCATGTAATTTTACATATTATTTTTAACTTATTCATTCTTGTTTTTAGGCATCTGCTCTTACAGTTGGTTGTTTAGAAACATATAGAGATGCAGTATGTAAAACATGCGACGCGGTGGATCACAATATAAAATCAATGTATCAGTTAATGGCTAAGTGCGAGGAATTGTCTAAATCAATGGGACCAATTTATAAATTAGCAGAGCAAATGTAAGTATCAAATGTTGGCAAATATTTTTCTTTTTTTCAATCTAGACATGCAGAAACTTCTGAGTCCAAGAAAAACTTTAGTTATAAACTATCATTAATATTATAAAATTTTTTATTAATCGAAATTAATCGAAACAATTCTTATTTATAAAATCAATCAAAAGTGATTAAATATAATTACAATATTAATCTAAAAGGAGAGGATTTTAATTAAATTGCAATATATAAATGCAATATTTGAGTAATGAAGAAAAGAAATATTGTAGCTAATTTCCTTGTGAGAAATTGGATTTTAAATGTAAACCAGCTTACTTTTTAAGCATACTTATATGCATTCATATAGATATATTTTTATTTTATTTGATTTTCAGCAAGGAAATGAAGAGGATGTTGGAATTGTTCGAGAGCGCTATGAATCTGTGAAGCAACATGAACAGAAATTGCATAGTGTGTCACAAATAATTATATTTCCGCGCGTTTTTAGATCTATTATGAAAATGTATTTGCACATTGTTACATATTACATTCATGATATTAGAAAAAAATCTGTTGATGTATTATGCAAATAGAATTATGCATATGCTTTTCTGAAAAGTATGCATATATGCAAGTGAATGTATGTGAGTATATATGCATGTTGTGCAATTTTTGTTGAATTTTTATTGTGATATACACAACTGAAAAATATATATACTGATTTTAATAAATGAATAATACATATTTAATGATAGTTAATTTAAGAAACACTGTTAAAAAATTGTTTCAAGATGCGATTATCATCAAATGCACATTTTAATTCATATAGATTCCATAATGTTATTAATTTTCAAATTAATTTACATATTTTGTACATATGTTAAAAAAATAAATGTTAAATAAAAAGCAGTTAATATATTTTATTATAATTTTCATTGAAAAAAACAAATATATTTAATACAATTTTCATTCGTATGCTCTGAAGCATAAATTTGTAATTTATTAAACACAAAAATCGAAATTCCATTAGAAAAAAAGTCATGTTTTAATGCATATGTAATATTGAAGACGATGAAAGTATACTGGTATAGTGAGAGAAACTGAGAGGGAGGAGATTTGACAAGAAGTGAAAGGATGAAAACGGGGGTGGAAAATGGCTCGGAAGGATAGTAGTGACGTCTACTTTGTAACTGTAGACCAATACAGCGTGCAATGAAAGCGGCTCCGGATATCATATTCCGGGATGTGCATTAGATGTACTGAGCGCCCACCATCGTAACTGTCTCGTTTCATCCTGTATTCTATCGTCGGCGGGCAACTAAATACAATAACGGGATGGATGACTCGGAGGTTAGTGCCGGGGGTTAACGGCTTTCTCGGTAGCGGCGAACCACTTTTCAGTCGCCTTCACCCCCAGCTGAAGTGACGGAGAAGAGGGATGGCGAGAACAAGCCGATCTTCCCTGCTCGCCCCTTTTTACTTGAAAGGAACTCTCTCCTCTGACGCCTTGCACAAAAGATGGTATCAACGATATCGTGACCATTTCTACGGTCGAAGTGCTCCGTGTGTGCCGTATTTGATAAATGAAAATTCTGAAAAAGGCCCATTAAATGTAACTGCGAGATGAAAAATTGAGAGGTCCAATGAGAGATCTATAGTATAGAAAATATGTATTTAAAATGAGTCAATTTTATTATTCTAAGAGGATGAACATATATTTATAAATTATATTATTGCAAGTTTTAATTTAATTTTTATTTATTATATTTATTTTATTTTTTAATCGTTAAATATTGCAAACTATTTAAATTTTTTCTGATTTTATATATCTTATGTGTTTATCTCTGTATTTGTATATTTATTTTATATGTATTATATATTTTATATTATATATGTAATTCACACAACAGTGTCTCATGTACGCAATACTGATCTATATATCTTTATGCGAGTCGGTCAGTTGCAAGTATTTAAAATTATCAGATCTCAAAATCGGTTGTAGTGATCAATCCTTAGGTCGGTATTCATAGCCGAATCTTATCTTTAAGATCGTGTTAAATATATATAAATATATACATATATATATGTCCTTATATTTAAAATATTTTATCAGATACATCTGATCATGCAACTTCTATGAGATACACTTTGAATAACGCTATGCTAGTAGTATTTGAAATTTGGCAACCATAATTCGAAAAATACTCAATGAAATTGAAACTTATTATACTGTAATGAAAATCTCGATGTTAACAATAATGTACAATAAAAAGTAGAAGTTTTTATTTAAAAAAATGAAATTAACTTAGACCTTGGCAACGCCGAGATCAATGTTATTATTCAATTTTTTTAAATCTTATCTATCTCTAATGTTTTTCTGAAAGCTTTTCTTTAAAATTGCATTGCTTACGAGATATTCGGTTGTATCTAGACTTTTGAAGCATCCCCATATAAATTAAAAATGAAAAAAATTAAATTAATTAGAAACCAAATCGATTGAGTTGAAAATTTTAATAATTTCTATAAGTTTATAGTTAGTTTTATGATTATATTATATGTTTTAATAAATTTGATAGTTATGTGTTGTTAAAAATATACAATGTTAGAGAATAAATGGCGCACGAAACGTGCGCCTGGTAATGCTTTAATACAAATGTATAATATGTATTTGCCTTTTTTTTATTGTTTTATGTCGAGACAACGTTTTTGAGGTACCATACCTCACACAAAGCGATGATCTTTTACATTTTTTTTCCCGTATTCCGTTACGTTTGAAAATTTCACATTTATCTATTCCCGACGCGGAACAATGTCAGCGAGGAACAGTGTAAACTGGTTTTGCGCCGTGCCCCAGCCATGGTCATTGTGGACTCAGGCTGTAAATAATAGCAAGCAAAAAGCTTCCCCGGCCCAACCCGGCGCGTCGCGTCACGATGCGCGCCTCATTTACCGCATTCGTCCAGCGGTAATTATTAAAACCACGATGATTTTAATCCCGAGAGCACGCTAGAGAAAAAAGGAGCAGCGGATGCTCCAATGGCGGACAAACACCTCGTTAATTTATTTTCTCTGACTCGACGGTCATTGAGAGAGAACACGTGCATATATATCGGTGGCAATTCCGGAGAAAGCCCTCCCGGGGTAATAATAATATCCAGCGCTGAAATAAAAATGCAAGAAGGGTGTAATTGATGCTTTACACGAAGGCATAAAGGAACTATTTGTACGCATTGAATCTATCAGTGTTTTTATAAATAATTTGTATATAGATATGAGATTACACATGCTAATAACAAATGCCAAGCGTACTATAGTAAACTGAAAAAAAAAAAGAGATTAAGATTTTTCTCTTTTCACTGTTAAATTTTCAGGATTCGGCAAAACGCATTTCAACGAATTATGACATATGGTATATTAGTTGGACCACGATCCATGTGTTTCCATAAAACGAAAGAATTATATAATTATATATTCTTGCGGTTAATTTTCTTCTGAGCACAGTGAAGCAAGCAAAGCGGTAGATTATGTCGCGTGGTGCATCAATCACAGCTCGAGTGTCTCTATAAATGCGCATTGTAAATACAAATCTGTGAAAAGAAATCGAATAGCTTTTGCTAAAGTCGCTTGCGAGTCTCATATGTCTACATACAGAATTCTGTCTTTTTCCTTGTCATTAATCTCTCTCTCTCTCT